AATCGGTTAGGCGAAACCTTCTATTTACTATAATGTGGTCTATTTTGTTACGGTACTCTCCATTGGGAGACTCCCACGTCTAGCGTTGAGGGTGGGGCTTCTGGAATTGCGAGTTACCACGGATGGTCTTGGTCGCCATGATAAACTCAGAGAGCCGCTCACACTGTTTATTCCATTCTAATCCGTGGGTCCCAATGTCACCTTTTCAAACATTCTTCTTGGTCCAGTCTTGGCGTTGAAATCTCCAATGATGCCCTTGAAGAATGTGTGGTCTTCACTGTTGACCTTCTCCAAGTCCATAGAGGACGCTTCGACTTCCTCTTCGTCATAGTTTGATGTCGGCGCGTAAACGACGAAGATTATCAAAGCTGGAATTGATCCACGCTTTCTTAGCCGTAAAAGTCCGAATCGAGTTCTAAGTTGTTCGAATTAATCAATGTTCATGGACAAACTCGTGTTGACGAGAACGCCGACGCCGCCAACTCCTCTACCGTCACATGCTCCGAGGAACAGTTGTTTTTCGGTGTCACAGATGGCTTTGAAAGGCTGGCGTCTTCTCGTCTCGGCCAGGCCGTTGACGTCGTTACCCTTCTTGCTTGCATGAGCAAGTCTTCTATCGAGGACTCGGATGCAAGTGTACGTGCATTGTAGGTACAGATCGTCAATGTAGTTCTTTGAAATCCAGGCAGCTTCCATTTTCATAAGGTTTCAGCAGCCTTTCCATACTCGTCCTACCCAACTCTGCGAAACTGGTGGCTCTTTAGGGGTCAAGGGAATGAGGCCCGTTTTTTTCTTTTACTGTGTTTAGCATTTTTGGTACCCACGTATAGCTTGCTTTGCTTTGAACGTGGAGACTGGGTATGCTCACGGGTAGCTTGCTAGGCTCTCCTAGAGTGATCATGGAGCTTATTTGTTGGAGGCGAGTTCTAATGGCCTCCCATGTACTTCCCAGTTACCTGATTGCAGGCTTTTGGCCGAATTGACCCGTTGAATACAATCCGCATAAGCAAGAACGCACCAACACACGCATGCATGAATCGGACCTGGAGCTGTTCGATTTTTCACCGACGAATTGCCATGTCGGATTTCGGAAGGCAGAACTGGTGGTACAACATAACCATCCTCCTTTATTTCATATGACGGAAGGCAAACGTCGCTATTGAAGAGATCTGAGTAGTATTCGTGAACGATTTTCTCCATTGCCTTCCTGGTCGCTGTAACTGTTCTGTCTGGGCGCCGGAGTGCAATCGTTTTGGTGTTGTAATTGGCTTCGGTGGGCTTTGCGAATGCTTTTCCTGGCCTTTGCAGCCTCGACCATTCCTGCTGCTCTTCTCTCTTTAAGATCTTCTTTTATCGCCTGTCGCATTGTTTTGCAAGTTCAGAAGTTAGTTCGCGGTTGCCTGCAGCTCGTGAGTTTCCACGCTGGCGTATCAGCTCGTGTGTCTCTGCAGACAGACGTCTATTGGTGACTTTCGAACTCTCAGCCTTCATAGCACTAACGCAATGATGTTGAATGAGCCGATCGCATTCTTCGTTGATGTTATCGACAATGGCATCTTCCCAACACCTGACAAATGAAATGAATAAGTTCCAGTTTACCGTGGTTCTGGGACTTCGGCTTTTGAATTTAGCGGCTTTTTCTCCTTTGCCCGAGAAATAGAATCTTGCACGAAGGAGACGATGGTCTGATCCCGTGTGGCATTTTGAGACAACAGCGACATCGGTTAGGTAGAACCTTCTATTTACTATGATGTGGTTTATTTCGTTATAGTCCTCTCGATTAGGAGACTTCCACGTCCTGCGTTGAGAGTGGGGCTTCTGGAATTGCGAGTTATCATTGATCGTCTAGGCCGTCATGATAAACTCAGACAGCCGTTCACCCTGTTCGTTCCATTCTAAACCGTGGGTCCAAATGCGACGTTATTCAGACGTTCTTCTTGGTCCAATCTTGGCGTTAAAATTTCCAATGATGACCTTGAAGAATGTGTAGTCTTCTCAGTTGAACTTCTCTAAGTCCATATAGAACGCTTCGACTTCTTCTTCGTCACAGCTTGATGTCGGCGCGTAAACGATGAAGATTGTCAAAGCCGGAATTGATCTACGTCTTTTTAATCGTAAACGTCCGATTCGGATTGTAAGTTGTTCGAATGAATCGATGTTCATGGACAAACTCGTGTTGACGAGAACGTCTACGCCGCCGACTCTTCTACTGTCTCATGTTCCAAGGAACAGTTCTTCTCCGGTGTCATAGGCAGCCTTGAAAGAGTGGCCTCTTTTCGGCTCGGCCGATGACGTCGAACCATATCCTTCTTGCTTGTATCAGCAAGTCTTCTATTGAGCACTCAGATGCAAGTGTACGCGCATTTTAGGTACAGATCGTCACCATAGTTTTCTGAAATCCAAGCAGCTTCCATTGTCCATGAGATTTTAGCAGCCTCTCCGCACTCGTACTACCCAACGCTGCCGATTTGGGGCTCTTTCGGGATCAGGAGAATGAGGCCCGTTTCTTTTACGGTTTCTAGCTTTTTGTTACCAACGTATAGCTTGTTGGGCTCAGAACATCAGGGCTGGGTATACTCACGGGTAGCTTGCCAGGCTCTTCCAGAGTGGACGTGGAGCTTATTTGTTGGAGGCGACACCAAACCGCCTCCCATATACTTCCCTGTCACTTGATTGTAGGCTTTCGGCAGAATTGACTCGTAGAATACAATCCGCATAACTTATAACGCAACCACACACGCGTGCATGAATACGCCTCATAAATATAGAAAGTATTTGTCAAATCGGCGAAGCAGAAACAGGGAGTCCATTCCTGAATCCACCTGCGTCTCAGGGAAGCAAAGGTCGCTTTTCGCCCACGATTAACCCCCTATACGCCACCTGGGAACGCGTCACGTAGCCTCGCGACTAACCGGCTATTGAGATCCCTCATATGAGGGAGAACCGTGGCATTTCATGTTAGCATACGTTTTTTTGTGCTAAATATGTAATGTCCTCGGTGATACATTCTTTAATACTCTGTATTACGGAATTTTCTTCGCCCAGACCACGTGGTCTGTGCATGACCATGGTTGGCAAAAATTTCATGGCACGCACACTATTGAAAGTCCAGCAATATCAACTGTTTTATGAACACACCGAGGTTTAGGGAAGGTCGGTTTCGAGATATTACTACGCTTTGTGCTAGCTTATAATACACCGACCTCTGCACGATGTGCGCAATGATGTATGTCCGGAAGAAATACAAGTTGTTACCACCGGACATTGTCATTATATATCCACCATCAGCATCGTGTATAAAAGGGCATCACTGAGTGAGGATGCCTCATTCGAGAAGATGGCTCGCTGAGGAAGATCTGGCTCGACAGGAAGGCGAATACGCAACGTCGAGGCGAACAACAAGCATGGACCATCGACTCGGATCACCGGCTCTGAGGGAGACGAAGACGTCGAAACGTTAGCCGAAAATAAATATATTTATCAACCTCGTGCAAGCTTATCAAGAAAGAATACATATTGTTTTATGAACATTTTCTTAGGTTCGTGGTCGACCATGATACCAATGGGTCCCATGGGTGAACCTGGAGGGTGTCGTCGACGTCACGACTCTGCGGCACTTTGGCCGTAGACCCAAACTTGCCACACACGCACGAGCTCTCGAATCCTGCCCACTCTTCGCAATTGCGGCCTCCTCGGAGGCGTTCAAAAATTGCGTGTCACTCCCGTGTTTCAGGGGCGACCGCGGGCAATTGGGAAAAGTTTTCAACCAGCAATAAACGCACCTCGGCAAAGCCTCATTGGTCACGTTATCGCCACTGCGCAAAGTCGATCTGGCCCCTCTCCCGGGCTCTGCCTCATATCCTGCGCTCCGTATTGCGAAGATGTTTGACTAGACCATTATAAACGACGAAATGCTACCGCAACGCAGTCGCGCACGAGTGGCGGTGGTCCGATTCTGCTCGCATCCATAATGCTGCTGCACATTTTCAAGTCTTTGAAGTTTTCTTGGAATTCGCTCATCTCGTAGATGTTGTCTGTTCACGAGGTGATTTGATCGTGAGGCATAAGTCTTCGTTAAGTACGAGGCGATTGTGACTAAATGCATTTCCACCGCACTTTTAGAGATCGCAAGATTGAAATCGTCGTACATTTTCGTTGTCTCATTTCCTGAATACCGGTGTCATTTGTTCGTACTTGTAGTCGTCTTTCTATTTTCTATCGAATGTAGTTTCAGTTCGTCTTTCAAGGCTTGGAGAGAGAGAGAGAGAGAGAGCATAATGGATACGTCAGTTGACTCTTTTATTGTATTAGTCAGACATTCTGATGTGACTCAT